CACAGCAGCCTTGGGCACAGCCAACACCCAGCAAACCACCATTTCTCAGCCCAGTCCAGCCCCGACCCAAGGAGCTGCCGGGTTTCAGCGAGTGGCGACACATCAACAGGGCCATCAGGCAGCCACCGCCCCAACCAGCAATTGCTGTGCCCAGCCCAGGCCTTTCCCTTACAGAGCAAGATGGCTACTGGCATACTGGCATACTGGGACCCCCGCCAATCAGAGTTATGGTTGATGGGAGTCCGGAGAAGTTGGCATTTTTCCTGAACCAGGTGTAGGCACACCTGGACCGATATGGGCCAATGTATACTGATGATGCACTTGTGTGGATGCTGTTGTGGCCAACCTTGAGGGAGAAGCAGTGGAGTGGGTGATGGGACTCCATGATGAAGAGACACCCAAATTTGGAGACCCCAGTGCTTCCTTGGGGGAACTCAGAGACTGCTCTGGAGACAATATGCAAATCAAGCAGGCAGAGTCTAAAATCCAGGCCATTAGGCAGGAAAGCAGACCAGTGATGGAGGACATTCAAGAATTCTGAAGGCTAGCAGGGAATCTGATCCACTATTTCAGGGATGGCCTAAACCAAGAGTTGTACCACACGTGTTTACCTCGAGAACTACCAGAGCGAATCCATGACTGGTACCAACTAGTAACAAATGTGGAGTTAGACCTAATGGAATACAAGAGACACAGATGAACCAAAAGCCACCCAAAGAAGAGCCAAGGGAGACATGTGCTGGGCCAGAAGCACCCTGCCACACCAGCTCCTGGCCCCCCTGAAGGTCCAAGACCCACACCTGGGCCATGTTTCCGATGCAGCCAGGAAGGCCACTGGGCAGTGGTTTGTCCAGCCCCAGCCCCCAGGACAACCCCAAGAAACCCAACGCATCCAAAACTGAAGAAGGCACCAACTAAGGGAAAGGAGAAGTCCTCGGTGGTGCATCAGGTCATTGAGATCTCCCCCCCCCCAGCAGCGAAGGGGAGGGAACTCCACCTGGGGAGGACTTGCAGCTAAACCTCTATGAAAGCAAAAGCAAGAGGGAGGATGACCCAACGGTAAGTTAAACCATCAGTCCCTTATTGACCCAAGTGATATCCTAGTACCCAAGTTGCGAGTGAAGGGAGTGGTGAAAGCCCTGGTAGACTCCATGTGCATCCAACGCTTAATCAGCTTGTAGATGGTATGTGAACTGGGATTGCGGGTAAGAAAGCTACGCCAACCCCTTAAATTTGAACAACGGCTCCCTGGTCGGGGGACTGCATGCCTCCTACCTAACCAAGCTGGTGCACTTGAGGTTAGGGAACCATGAAGAAACCATTCAATTCATGGTGGTCCCAAAGATGGCACAAGCCATGATATTGGGGTTATCTTGGCTAGCCAAGTGGAGTCCTATCATACACTGTGGGAAGAACATGAGGCACATAGTGATGGCAGAGAAGGGTCCCAATCCCCCGGGGAGGAAGCACAATGAAGCCAAGCATCAGGGGGATGAGAGGAAGGAGCCTGAGCACACAAAGGCAGCATCAGAGCCAACATCAGAAACACCTTCTATCCCAAGGGAATATTGGGACCTGATAGAGGTGTTCAGCGAGAAAGAGTGCAATGTCTTGCGCCCCCCCCCATCAACCCACAGACTGTGAAATTGAGATCTTGCCTGGAGCAAAACTCCCCAATGATTGCAGGAGAAATGAAGGAGTTGAGGGACTATATTGATCAAAACCTAACTAGGGGCTTCATCCAAGCCGCAAAGTCCTGGGTGGCAGCCCCAGTGCTGTTTAAAGAGAAGAAAGATGGTTTTCTTAGACTGTGCATTGATTTCCATGGAATAAATAGTGCATGTATGTGTAGAAAACATGTACCCCCTTCCCTCTTATGAAAGACATGCTGGGGCATCTAGCCAAAGGAAAGGTGTTCACCAAGTTTGACTTCAGGGAAGCGTATTATCAAGTGATAAACAAGGAAGGCGGTAAATGGAAGACAGCCTTTAACTGCCTATTAGGGTGCTACCAGTTTAAAGTGATGCCATTCGGCTACAAGGAGCTGTGTTCATGCAATTAATCAACAAAGTGCTGCATGAGCACCTATACAAGAGGGATCCTAGTGTATTTAGATGACATCCTCACCTATTCTGAGACAATGGAGGAGCATGTAAAGTTAGTATGGCAGGTGCCGAAAAAAGTTTTGGATGCTAAGCTGTCAAAATGCGAATTCCACAAGACCAGTCTAGACTACCTGGGCTATAGAGTGTCTTGCGAAGGAGGAGAAATGGACCCAGGGAAAGTGAAGTCCATCCTGGAGTGGCAAGCTCCATGAACCCACAAACAATTTCAAAGCTTCTTAGGATTCGCAAACATCTATCTGCAATTTATCCCATCCTTTGCAAAGATCTCCCTGCTGATCACGGAGCTATTAAAAACAGGGGGAGAGAGGGAAAACCCTGGCCCAGCCAGCCATTGAACTGGACAATGGAATGCCAAGCAGTGTTCAAGAAGCTTAAGAGGCTGTTTGCTGCTGAGCCGGTCCTAAAGCATCCCAATGTCGAAGAACCATTCATTAATCAAGTGGACACCAGTGGTGTGGCTGTGGAGGCAGTGTTCCTCCAAAGGAATGGCGAGAGAAAACTGCATCCATGTGCATTCACCTCCAGAAAACTAAATGAAACCAAGAGATGGTGGACAATGTGAGAGAAGGAAGCCTTCACAGTACGATGGGCACTACTGACATGGAGATAGTTCCTAGAGGGGAGTAAGATCTCCTTCAAAGTGTGGACTGACCCCCAAAATCTAGAGGCACTGAGGATTCCCCAAAATCTCTCCCCGAAGCAAGTTCAGTGGGCTCAATATTTCAATCAGTTTGACTTTGTCTTGAAATACATTCCGGGAGAAAAAAAATTCCTGGCTGATGCATTGTCCTGCATGCCCCAATACAAAAACACCTGAGAAGAGGTGAATCCTATTATCCCCACAAGGCAGCTGGCAGTGAAAGTGATCACTAGGCACCAAGTGAAAAGAAAGACCTTCCCGCCCTGTTGACATGTTTATGCAGTACATGAAGAAGGAACTGTAAATAATGCATAGTTTGGGACCCACTGCAGGGAGCTAATGTCAAAGGGGGAATTGGCCTGGAAGGGGAATAAGTTGTATGTTCCTGACAGTCTACGATTACACATGTTACAAAAGACCCACAATGCTAAGCAAGCTGGCCACTTTGGATTTGTAAAGATCTTACACTTAACTAAACGGCAATCTGGTGGCCATGGATGAAAAAACACATTGAGAGCTATGTGAAAAGCTGTGTGGTATGTATAGTCATGAAACTAAGACCAGGGAAGAGTCTGGGGCTGCTGCAGCAGGTGCCTGACCCAACCCAGCCTTGGGAAGAAATAGCTATGGACTTCATAGTCCAACTTCCAGAAAGTAGAGGAAATACAGTGATATGGATAGTAGTGGACCTGTTCTTGAATAGCTTGCTCCAGCCTCCCATCAGCCCAGAATCTAGGTAGGATGTTTCTGCAGGATACTTAACCAGTTGCACGGCATGCCCAAGTGCATAATCTCGGATAGAGGGATCCAATTTACAGCAAAATTTTGGCATGAATTCATAAGGCTGATAGCATCCTCCCAGGGCCTTAGCTTGACTTTTCATCCGAGTACAAATGGAGTGGCAAAATGAGCTAACGCCATGGTAGAACAATACATGCGTTGCTATGTCAACTATCAACTATCTAACTGGGCAGACCTCCTGCCATTTGCTGAAGTGGCATACAACAATGCAGGGTACAATAGCACATGGCTTTAAGGTAGCTACAGGGGTGGATTTCGTGCCAATAAGAACTTCCCTCATCAGTAACACTGACTGAATGGGTGGATTCCCTCAAAAGCACCTGGAGTAATGTAAAGAAAGCTTTAGCCAAAGTGACAGAGAGTCAAAAGAAGCAGGCAGACAAGAAGTGAGCTCCTCAAGGGATGTTTCACGTAGGAGATAAAATGTATCTATCTACAAAATACCTAAAGTTGAGGCAGCCCTGCAAGAAACTAGATCCTAAATACACAGAACCTTTCCCCATCATGAAAATCATTAACCCAGTTATGGTATAACTAAAACTGCCCAGAATATTGGATAAAGTGCACCCAGTATTTCACTGCAGCTTACTGAAACTGCCCCAGAGATCTAGACTAAAGACCAGTGGAAAAGAAAGCCCCCAGTCCAATAATAATGAAGGGCGAAAGACATTATGAAGTCAAACAGATCTTAGATTCTAGGTTCTGCAAGGGCAAACTACAGTACTGAGTGCAGCAGAAGCGAGATGGATCACACCTCACAACATCAGAATAGAGCACGTGATAAATAGATTTCATGCAAAATACCCTCAGAAATCAGAGGCCCCTTAAGTAGGGAATAGAGGGAGAGGAATGGCCTTAATATGTGTTTCCTATCTTTCGGGTTCCTTCCAGGTTTTAGGCGGGTCCGCCTGTCAAGTTAGAAGCGTGTTTTGCTGTTGTGACAATGATTGCTTCTCAGCTTGCTAAGAACCTGGGGGACGGGAAGGTGAATGGAATGCTGGCTCCAGAAATCAAGAAGTCAGACCATGAGAACCAAGGACAGTTCACCAGGTGTCTGGCCAAACTCAGAGACACTTTCTCATAACAATATTTTAACACCTAATTGGGCAACGTGACTGGACTAAAAGGGGGGAGGAGGAATTTTACACCTTTACTATATGGATTGGGAGGGATTTGCTAGAGCTGGTTTTGCTTGCAATCGTGCTAAAATGATGTACTCAATAATTAAGTTTTGCATGAAGAGATTGGATTGTCTCGGAGGTGCTTGCTTGGTTAGGTTCATCAGTGGGAACCTTGACACTTAGTTTGACTATTTCCATCTCAATAAACATGGTTTATTTTATCTTTTCCTGGATTATAGTTCTGGAACATCAACAGATTTGAATAAGCTACATGATTTTGATAATCTGAAAATTAGCTTCTGTATTTGACAGAGAAATGAAGGTGATCTATTTCACCGACTGTGGCACATAATGAATGAAATCCTAGATCTGCGACGGCAGGTGCTGGTGGGCCATCTGACCCATGATCGGATGAAAGATGTCAAAAGACACATTACTGCTCGCTTGGATTGGGGCAATGAGTGAGTAAGAGTCAATTTATAAAACTGTTACATTGGTTGCCATTCATTGCTATTTTAATGTTTATGGCAAGATGACAAAAAGTTAGTGGATTTTGCTATGTGGTGATAGCTTGTTCCAAGTGGGCTGTGACATAAAGAATAAGTAGTTTTTCAGTAAGGTTTAAAAAACCTTTATTGATGTCCTTAGGCTGTTTATACTCAATAAACAAACAATTTCTAATAAAACCTCTTGTTTAAGTGCAAGACAGTTCTTTACTTGCCAAAAGGCCAATTCCAATCCTTTGTCTATTTGAGACAATTCTGTAGGAGATCAGAAGTTTATCTTCTTGTGAAGGCTGCAGGCAAAAAGAAATGATAAGAAAAGCTCTAGAGTTCTTTGAATGCTGCCAGTTGCCTGAATTTATAGCCTTCTTTGTTCAGTAACATAGGATGACACTGTATTATGGTTTGGATGTTCCAGACAGATTGTAGGAGCTGACCTGGTAGATCAGGGGTAGGCAACCTTGACTCTTTTATGACTCGTGGACTTCAACTCCCAGAATTCCATGAGTCATAAAAGAGCCAAGGTTGCCTACCCCTGAAGTAGATCTTTCCCACCACTTTGATACTAGACAAGGAAATCCTGAAAGATCATCATATCTGTTCTATAAAAAATGTGAGAATATATGTTTGCATATATTCCAAATAAAAGGTTGTCCTCGACTTAACGACTGAATGTTTAACAACCATTCAAAATTACAGTGACCTCTGAAAGATACTTTATGGACCATAAAGCTCTCCTGCTCAGCCATCAAAAAATGTGCTGTGTCCCCCCTCTCCTGTCACATAATTCTTATCTGAGTGCTCATCATGTGATGACCATTTGCAGTCACCATCTGTTGGTTTCCCCAGAAAGTCAATGGGGGATCCAGGAGGGAAGTTTGCAAATTACTTTGGCCTGATGAAATGACTCCCTCTTGTCTCTGGGGGCTGGCTGAAAGACCTGCTTACTGAGAGGAGATGAATTCCTCTGTCAGGGTGGAGAAATGGAGCTCATATCCTGAAGATCCAACCTCTATTCTTGCAATCCATCAGAGCAGTTCTTTTCAATGCACTGAGGAGAGACAAACTTCTCCTGGAGAGCAGAGAAACATTGCTGAGATCCTCAATATCCGAGCTCCGATCCTAAAGCCTGATGGAACAGTTTCCTTCTGTGCATAGAGGAGAGTTTATCTCAGCATGGAGCTACTTCATTCTGTCTGCTTAATGATGACAACCAGGATTGCAGTCATTGAATCACATTTCACTTAATGATCACTTCGCTCAAAACCCAAGATTCTGATCCCAATTGGGTTTGTAAGTCGAGGACTACTTAAGGTATGGGATTGCGCCAAGGGCAAAATGCTCCTTAGGTGTCCCTAGATGAACACTCTATTAAAGCTGCCTATTAAACTTGCTATTTAATTTTCAAAAATAAATATTGTTAGTACTTCTATTGCCTTTGGCTGATATTGCATGTAAATTTGATTTGTTCTGCTACACCAGTGGTGGCGAACCTATGGCAGAGGTGCCAGAGGCGGCACTCGGAGCCTTCTCTGTGGGCACATGTGCCGTTGCCCCAGCCTTGCCTCCCCCCATCACCCCCTCCTCTCCAGCAACCCCCCTGAAGGAGAGTCGCCCCTGAGCATGGCCCACGCAGAGCAGCGCAGCGTAGCCAAGGACATGGCAGCCAGGCAGTGTAGACAAGACTGTGCCCTCACACCCCATCGTGCACAGTTGATGCTGCAGGATGCGGGCAGAGGGCATGACTACCATAGCGCTGCTGGGCTACCTGGGCAATCTGTGGTGGACCCTGGAGGTGGTGAGTGGCCCTGCAGGCAGGCGGGGCGGGGGATGGGTGGTGGGGCGGGGGCGGGGCAGGAGGTAGAGCAGGGGCAGGGGCAGGTTTTGGGCACTCGGTCTCTAAAAGTTTTGCCATCACTGTGCTACACTGAGTGAGATGTGTTTCTCTTCAGATAAAGTCAGAAAAAGTTATAAAGTAAGAAAAGCACCCACTGGCATAAACCATTGAAGTCCTTCTCTTTGCTTATTACTGAATACATAATGCTGTTAAAGGTTTTGGAAAATGAAGAATTCATAGAACAATATTTTGTTGAATATATTTTGAATGCTGCTAGGAATAGCTCCTGCTTTCTTGACGCTACCTTGCTGAATTTTAAAAACTAACTAGCACATCTATAGAATAGAGATGAAGCTTGTCAGAAAAATAAAAAACAGTGGGTTTCTCAAATTGATAGTATTTATAAAAAGAGCTGACTAGAAAACATTTTGGTGCTTTCATTTTCTTTTAACAGTTACATTCCAGTATTAAGGTGGTGGATGTTTGGCTCTTTTGGCTCATTCTTCAAAAGTGCAAAATATATTATGATTTTATTTTATGTCTCTTTGATGTATGCTTCCTGAAAGATAAATAGACAGACCTTATAAAATGAATCATGTCATATGGATAAATATTTCAGAAGTATGCAGTCTAGAAATATTATCATTGACTTCTTCCATTTTTTTTTAAATTTTGCAGTCTAGCCCACAGCTCTGGGATTATCTGATGATCTTTCACCCAATGTTCAACCCTGTTTAGCTGTTTGAGACCAGCCAAGGTCAACTAGCTACCATGTTTCCCCTAAAGTAAGACTTACTCCTAAAATAAGGATTTTTGGAGGTGGGCCTAATATAATCCCTACCCCAAAAATAAGCCCTAGTTTTGGGGTGAGGTCCATGCCTAAAAATCAAGCTAGGGCAAGCTGTCCGACGCACACCATGCCTACTTATCAGGCCTCCCATGAATCGAAACCTGCGTCTCCTCTTCTGCGGCAATCGCCGGCCTGCATTTCGCAGTCAGAGGCTTTCAGGAAGGTCTCTGCAGCTGAGAACTGAACTATGGATTCAATTCATAGCTCAGTTCTTGGCTGCAGAGGCCTTCCGGAAAGGCCTCTAACTGCAAAATATAGGCCAGAGCTCTATTCTTTGCTGCAGAATGAAGCTGCTCCTTCAGCTGCAGAATAAGTGGGTTGGCTGGGTGGGGCTGTCAGTGCCGCTGCTATGAGGTGAGTGGAAAAGACACTCCCTGAAAATAAGACTTGGTGCCTCTTTTGGAGGAAAAAAAATTAAGACCGGGTCTTATTTTCGGGGAAAACAGTAGGAAAAAAGGGAAACAAAGCAGCTGTGTGTATACACACACACACACACACACACACAGAGAGAGAGAGAGAGAGAGAGAGAGAGAGAGAGAGAGAGGGAGAGAGAGATTTGGGAATAACTGCATATTCTTCCAGATCTCTCTGTCCCAAATGTGTGTGTGTACACAGCTGATTTGTTTCCCTTTTTCATATATATATGAAAGATGTAGATAGATAACAGAAGATATAAATATATCTTCCATAGATAGATAGATAGATAGATAGATAGATAGATAGATAGATAGATAGATAGATAGACAGATAGATAAAAGATGCAGTTGTTCCCAAACTAGCAAATTTGCAAACTAGCCATTTTTTTAACTTTTGCACAACCCTTATGAATATTGGAATCTGAGAGGGTGAGGGCTTTAGTTAAAAACAGCTCTTTATTTTAATTCTGACTTTTATTTTGATTTTTGCTTTGCTTTTCTAAGCTGTTCTTTTCCTGGACTGTGTTGTCAAAAATGTGAGTTATTTGCTATTAATGCTCTATTGGTGTTTTAGTACATAATTTTTAAAGTTAGATAGTAGGTAGAGAGTGAATAAAGAATAAAACCATGCAATAGAAATGGCAGAAATATGTTCTATTAATACTGGTTTTTATTATCTGTAATTTGGAGTAATCATAGAGCAAATGGTACATTGCATATTTTTCCTTACAGGGATAATGGTACAAGAATGACAGATTACTTCAAATTTAAACGCTGTATGTTTTCTATAGATTTTAACTAAGGATTTTAAAATGTTCTTCTAACTAGTCTTTTTGTATACATTTGCAGACAGTTAGGGTTAGATTTGGTTCCAAGAAAGGAATATGCAATGGTGGATCCAGAAGAAATCAGTATTACAGAATTGTACAGATTGGTAAGCAAATAACTCACTTTATTTCAATTCTGTTAAACTCATTGAAATTTCCACAAGAATAGTCATTGCAGATGCAACTCAGTCAATAAACTGGGATTCAGCATTTGGCACCTGTGCTATTTTTTTTTCTTGATGTTTCTTATCATTATATACAGTACCGTATATTTCCAGCGTATAAGACGACTTTCTAAGCCACAAAAACCTTCTTAAAAGTTGGGGGTCGTCTTATACGCTGAGTCGTCTTATACGCCGGAAAATACGGGTATTCTATTTTATTCCTTTACACATGTGGTTTGGTATATTACTCATCAAGTTTTCTCTCCCCCCCCCCTCTCACTCAAAAAGAGTCCTTGATTGGTAGAGTGGCGGTGGGGAAAGCAATTAAACTCTAAGCTGTTTGTTTCAGCAATCCGTCCCCGCAGCTCACCTCTAGCAGGCGTGTGGTTTGCAGCTGCTTTTTGCTAACTTGAAGTCACAGGCTGGTAAATGCCTGTGGGTCTCAATCTGTCTCCTCGCTGCTTTGCACTTTCTGAGCTGGAGATCAAGGTGGGAGGGAAGGATTGGAGGGAGAGGGAGGAGGGAAAGGAGGCGTGTGTGTGTGTGTGTGTGTGTGCACGCGCGCGCACGCTTCTGGCAGGCGTGTGGTTTGCAGCTGCTTTTTGCTCGCTGCTTTGCACTTTCCGAGCTGGAAATCTGGGTGGGAGGGAAGGATTGGAGGGAGAGAGAGGAGGGAAAGGAGGTGTGTGTGTGTGTGTGTGTGCACGCACACTTCTCCTCGCTGCTTTGCACTTTCCGAGCTGGAAATCAGGGTGGGAGGGAAGGATTGGAGGGAGAGGGGTGAGGGAAAGGAGGCATGTGTGTGTGCGCACACATGTATATGTCAGAAAGATAGGCGGGGGCCAAGAGAGTTGCAGTAAATACAAGCCAGGGACTTGCCCGGCACTTGCTCTTTCTATTGTTTGTTATCTTCCTCCTATCATCATCAGTTCCAGTTTGGTTGACAGCTTAGAAAACAAACAGCATGGCAGCTCCCATGGGTTTATTGTCTTATCCTTCCTTTCAGCTTTAGAGTGAATTAGGAAAAGTTTAATCCACTTGCACTGTTTTATGTTTATATGTTTGATGACAGCCTTATGTTTATAAGTGACAGTTTTTCTGCTAAGTACCTGCATGTCATAAGCATTTGAATTAAAATTACCATATTGAAATCAAATCTGATGTTTTTTAATTTTTATTTGGTGTGCATTGGAAGAGGGGTAGTCTTATACGGTGAGTATAGCCCAAACTCTATATTTTAACTGGAAAAGTTGGGGGTCGTCTTATACGCCCAGTCGTCTTATACGCCGGAAAATACGGTACATATTTTAGGAGACTTTTCTAAATTTATCTAATTTATTTTTTGCCCAATCCAATGACTTCGGAGTTATTTTAACCACAGCTTGGAAATACAAGCGAAGGAAATAGCCGAAGAATGTGCAGGAATTTTGAATGTATATGACAAACTCTTCCACTTATAGGTGGATGCTGCTATGTTGCGAGGACAACTTGTAAGGATTTTGAAACCCTGGATTATAGCAATAACATATAGTGACTCTTAATCCATACATTTATGCTGATTTTTTCCAGATCTCTAAATTTACTGTGAAATTTGTGCAGATAAATGTTCTCTCATGAATTTACTTTTATAGCCAATTGTATGGTACACTTGGATAGCCTTGCTGTACAGCAGAAAAAGCAAATACATAGTCAAGTTGTGTGCTATTGTTAGAAAAACTTGAATTACTTAAAAATAATAATAAGTTTCCAATATTCAGTTTGCCACCAATCAGAAGAACTAGACTTTAGTATTCTACTTGTGTAATAATGTACTTTTAAAATGTAATAAAAACATTAGTAAATCTGCACTGTACTTAGTATAAGTAGGAAAAGGAACACTGAACCAATATCTCCCAAATAGTGAGGTCAATGATGTTTTAACATTTTTTTTTAAAAACAGCCTCTTTAGTAATTCCTTAGCTTCTTTGACTATAATCCCATAATTCCCAAACAACCTTTGATCCCCTCTCTCCTCCCCTCCCCCTCCCTCCCTCTTTCTCTCCCTCCCTTCCTCCCCTAATTTACAATATTGCCATGCAGAAAGAAAACTATTAAATCTACCCTAAGGTTTCTGGAAAAGGATGCTAAAAATGTAATGAATATGTGAAAAAGTGACCTTTGTGTTTATCTGAAATAATGACTGGCTAATGAATCTAGAAATAAGATGTCTAGTATTGTCTCACAAGAAACAGATGAACAACTTCAAATGTTTGATTTAAACAATCACAAGTGGTTAACAAAAATAAAGTGATGAGCAAGAAAATGCCTTTCTGAATGTTTATATTTCATAAATTAAAATAAGCATAAACTGGTTTGATCTTTGTATGGTACTCTATATTTAGATGGAGCATCGTCATCGCAAAAAAGACACACCAGTCCCAGCAAGCAGCCACCATCTCTTTGTGCAGATGAAGAGTCTGATGTGTTCCAATCTAGGAGAAGATCTAGAAATTATTTTCTCACTTTTTGATAGTAAAGAGAATCGACCAATCAGGTAGCATTTTCTTTTATTAAAAAATGCAGAAATATACAGCTTCATCAGTTCTTGCATTTACTTGGATAACAAAGTCATTTTGACTTTTTAACTCTGAATCTTGAAGTTCATAAATATAGTTCCACGTGTAGTTCATGTTGTTGTTGCTGTTGAATGCTTTTAATCTGGCTCTAACCCACTGGACATGTTCAATTGATATGTGGATACAGAAAATTCTTACTGACTGTACTGGAGATCACAAAAGTGTTAACTAATGGATCTAATAAACTAATAGATTTTGTAAAGACAGGGATGTTCACATAGTGTATTAAGCCATAATGTATTTTGCTTGTTTTTTATTTAGAATGAGTACGACATTGCGGCTTACAATCGACAATGGTTTGTGCATTCTAATAATGATGCATTAGTAATTAATCTTAAACAATGGTTAAAACTAGCAAGCATGATGTATGATTTCAGCTGTATTGTGGATAGAGAAACCTAGGATAATGGTAAATTTCCCTTTAGCTCACACAATAGTTTCTATGGAACATATTTTCGCTATAAATAAAATGATTGCATATCTTATAATCTGATTAAATATTGCCGGTGATATCACAGACATAATACACATTTTTCCTCCTACATTCATGATTGTTTCCATTTTGACTCATGTGTTTTTGATCATTTTCTAGAAAGTGTCATTTTTAAAAAAAATAATGAATGATTAGGAAATAAAGTAGAAGCAATTTTGAGTAGTGTCGAACATTATAGTTTTTACACCATAAATTTTGGAATAATAACAACCACAACAATGAAAAGTGGCTAATAATAAGTCATAAATGGAAGGCTATTGCAGAGTTATATACATTTGGGTATGTGAAATCTCCCAAAACAGGTTAATTTATATTAAGAACCAATGAACCTGGATCATAGAAAACGTATTATAGGATGCAGTCATATAAAATATAGCCTGGCTAGCTTTTCCTTGAAAATCTCCTTTCTTTTTAGCTGCTATGCCTTCACTTTTACAAACAGTGGATGGACAGCAGCATACATGGAAGACTCACATGGCTAGTTAGAAAGCTGTGCCTAGCTGTTTTCTGCCTGTGTGTACATGGAAAGCCACATTGTTTTTTCCCTGAAAAAAATGCACACTTGGTTTATTGTGAAAAGCAAAAATACTTGATAGATCAAGGAAATACACAGCTTGTTTGAAGAGCTGAATACAGGTGCTAAGTCTCCTCTCATGCCCTAATGCTTTTTGGAATCAAAGTATTACACACAGTGGTGGGATTCACCTGGTTCACACCAGTTCGGTAGAACTGGTACTTAATTTTTTTTGAGTTCAGGGAACCGGTTGATTCGTGGCAGAACCCCCATCCCCATCCCTGTTTGTGCAAATTGAGAATATTAATAATTATCAGGTTCACCTAATCTACAAAGGTAGTTTTTCCTATTTTCTGGCAACCATGAGGCGGGATAACATGAAAACCCATCTCCTGAGGCCGAGCAAAAGATAATTTCTCAAGTTGCCATCACAGTCCGCATCTCTGATGGGCACAGCCACTACCTCGAGTGACACTCTGCACAGCCAGTCAGCGTATCTCTGTGGCTTCCACCTTCACTTTTCCTGTTTCCGTTCTCACCCTTCTTCGGTAGTAACGAGGCTTGTGGGGCAATGGTGGCTATACAGGGCCTCCGTATTTTGGTGAAGGTGACTGAGCCAGAGCCCATGGAAGTGGAAGAGGATGATCTGTTGCTTCAGACTGGAACCCCCGCTACCCCCTTGCCTCTGCTACGGCATCATTAGAGGAACTAGCCGTGCCACTGGGGCATTCGCTGAGGCAGCTGCTGCCAGTAATGGAGCCAGGGAAATGGGCTGGGAGGGGGGGGAGCTGCCAGTGCCACTCCCACAAGGTGAAGCCAGTGGGAGAAGGGGAATCGGACCCACACATCCCGCTTCCCGATCTCCTGCAGCCTCTCATGCCACCCTACTGGTGCTGCAGCACGATGTCACATCCCCGTTATGAGGTGGCGTGTTGAAATCAGCCACAGCACCACTGGGCTGGTTTCCAGGGCTGTTTCCTCCACTCCATTACCACCAGCAGCTCCCTCAACGAGCATCCCACCGGCATGGCCAGTTCCTCTGCTGATACTATAGCAGAGGTGAGGGGATAGCCAGGGCTCCAATCTGAAGAAACAGCTCACCCTCCTCCACTTCCATGGGTTCCGGCTCAGTCGCCTTCACTGAAATATGGACAACTGCCATCGCCACACAAGCCCCGCTACTGCTGAAGGAGGGCGAGACCAGAAACAGAAAAAAATAAAGGCAGAAACCATAGAGATACATTGACCAGCTGTGCAGAACACCACTTGAGGGAGAACCTGCCCATACGGAGCTGGGGAAGTGGGCTGGGTTGGGGAGGAGCTGCCAGTGGGGGAAGGGGGATTGGACCCATGTGCCTTGCTTTCCGGTATCTGCCACAGCCTCTCATTCTGCCCCACTGGTGCAGCACAACACCACATCACCGTGATGCAGCAGTATTGCCAAAATTGGCCACAGCACCAGTGGGGCGGTGTAAGAGGCTGCTGAGGGAGCTGCCGCCGATAATGGAACTGGGGAAACGGGCCGGGTTGGGGGGAAGCTGCCAGTGCCACTGACACAAGGCGAAGCCAGTGGGGGAAGGGGTATCGGACCCATGCGCACTGCATTATAGTATTCTGCCGCAATGCCGCTGCATCATGGGAATGTTGCATCGTCGCAGCATGGGTGGGGTGGTGTGAGATTCCGGGACATGTGGGTCCAATCCCTCTTCCCTCACTGGCTTTGCCTCATGGCAGCAGTATTGGCAACTCCCTCCCCAACCTGGCCCATTTCCCCAGCTCTGTTACTAGCAGCAGCTGCCTCAGCGAGTGCCCCACCTGCACGGCTAGTTCCTCTGCTGATGCCATAGCAGAGGCGAGGGGTAGCGGGGACTCCAGTCTGAAGCAACAGCTCACTCTCTTCCACTTCCATGGGCTCCAACTCAGTCAACTTCACCGAAATACGGAGTACACCCTCCATTGCCCCACAGGCCTCGCTACCGCTGAAGGAGGGCAAGAACGGAAACAGGAAAAGTGAAGGCAAAAGCCATAGAGATACACTGACTGGCTGTGCAGAGCACCACTCGAGATAGCGGGTGCCCCTATCAGAGGCACGGACTATGGTGGTGACTTGAGAAATTATCTTTCGCCTGGTCTCGGGAGATAGGTTTTCCTGTTATCCCACCTCGCGATTGCCAGAAAATAGGAAAAAGTACCTTTGTAGGTTAGGTGGGTGAACCTGATAATTATTAATGTTCTCAGTTCACACAATATATTGAACCGTAAACTGAGCAAATAGAATTTCTAGCAGCAGGTTAAGCTACACATTTAGACCTCTGGAGAGCAAAGCTGTTATTTTTACAATCTGTTAGCCCTACACATAGCTTAATATGTGTAGATATTTAATTAATCTAGTTAAGTGCATTACATCAACATAGTCATCATTTACAATCACGTGACATCCCCCCACCTCATGTCTATGGTATCAACCAGAGAACCGGTTGTTAAATTATTTGAATTTCACCACTGATTACATGCTCCTCCATAAATGACTTAATGAGGAAGAGTTGCAGAGCTTGAAAGTTTCTGTTTCTTTGAGAGAATTTAGGGCAGGAGAAATCATGTAGTCTGCAATATGTGGGATAAATGCAGCTCCCCGAAAGTTTGTTGTTGTGGCTCTGGAGCCATCAACTACTGAAATTTAGTGGCATCCCAATAGCAATAGCAATAGCAATAGCATTTATATTTATATACTGCTTCATAGTGCTTTACAGCCCTCTAAGTGGTTTACAAAGTCTGCATATTGCCTCCAACAATCTGGGTCCTCATTTTACTGACCTTCAGCCAGTCAGGAAGGAACTCCTGGCAGTGAACAGAGTCAGCCTGCAATATTGTATTCTAATCACTGTGCCACCATTGCTCCTAAAGTGCACTAATGAAATTTAGTGACATCCCAAAGCGTTCTAATTTATTTTTTTTGTATAAATTTTATTAGTTTTTTATAGGGTTAGGGATGAGGTGGGATTGTGATTGTGATTTGGGTTCAGGTTAGGATTGGGGTTGGGGTTGGGGTTAGGGTTTTTCCAAATAACATTCTCAAAATTCAGCAAACAGCATAATGTATGTTTTCATATATTTAACAAGAAGTAATAGATAATGGTTAATTATCATAAACAATATGTTAATTAATCGTTCGATAGTCTTCTTCTTACTGATATATATTCAAGGTTATATATCACATCCCTTTCTCTGTAACTCATGTTCTAGCCATTGATAGAAATTATCCCATGTTCTAAAATACACTGAGTCTTCTTTCTCTTTTATCTTTAAAATCAATCTGTCCATTTCCGCACACTCTAAAATTTTCTTAATTAATACTTCTTCAGTTGGTAAATTTTCATTTTTCCAATGTTGGGCAAATACAATTCTTGCTGCAGTTAGTACGTGTAAAATTAAATGTATACAAACTTTCTCATAATTTGCTCCTATTATTCCTAACAAAAATAATTCTGGCTTAAAGTCTATTTGTTTTTTAGTCATTTTCTCCAACCATAAATGTATTTTTAACCAAAATCTTTTTGCTTATGGGCATGTCCACCAGATATGATAGTAAGTACCTGGTCTTTTTCTGCATTTCCAACACTTGTTTGAAGTATTTTTAAACATTTTTGCTAATCTCACTAGTGTCATATGTCATCTGTAAAACATTTTATATAAGTTTTTTTTATATGTCACTGCTTTAGTTAATTTTACATTTCTTTCCCGTAACTTTTGCCAGTTTTCTAATTCTATATTATCATCGTTTCTTTAACTTGTTCTTCCTCCATCTTTAAATTTAAATTTATAGAGTTTCTTAATCAGCTTTTCATCTGTTTTTAATAGTATCTGATCAAATTCTGTCTGTTCCTTATAGAATCCCATTGTTTTAACATCTT